AAGGAAGCCACTAGAGGGGAGACCAGGGAAGGGCTGACATTGCCCCTCAGGTCCCAAGACTGTCCAGAGAGAAACCCCCGCTCGCTCTCAGGGAACTGCAGCCTTTCTTCTTGAGGGCCTGCCCGTGGCTGGGCCCCCACGCCGGCGGCCGGCAGCTTCACTCCCACGTCCTGACTTCAATGTTCCTCCAGCGAAATTACACCTTGGCGGCGCCACCTGGGCTGTGTTTGATCCACATCTGGGCACCATCGTCTAGTCCAGTTGAGAAATAAAATGACCCCTCGTGGGGCTGTGCTGTAACCACACCACGCTCAGAGGATTAGATGAGGTGCCGACTCCAGAGTAATTAGCGGAGTGTTTGGGGCTGAGTAACAGTGGTGGCTCAGCAATTACTCCCTGAGTGGCATTTACAATTAGGGCTGTTGCTGCTATCAAGTATTCCCGTGAAATCTACGCGCTTCTGGTCATTTTCATGTCTAATTTTTAAAAGAAATTTCGTTTGTGGTGGTGTTTGAGATAAGCATTAATTTTTGCTTCAGTAAAAGTGCTATTATACAGCTTTTACAAAATCTTTTGACAAACATGTCAAGAAAAAAATGGCTTTCTATGTACTTAGAGCATAATAAATTTAGGAAGTCTGAAAAAAATATGAGCAATACTGTAAAATGATGAATGCCCAATAAAATTTTAAAGGCACAAATACAGATTTCTGATCTGTAACTAATGCAAATATCATATGAACATTGTCAAGTTTTCATGATTAAAAGCTATAGGAGTGAAAAATGCTTTGAAAGATGCGCTTAGGGCATTGCAACGTGTCAGCATCTCTGAGGCCATGTCATTAAAACTTCATGCCACGGGGGTCCTGGGGCGTGCCATGCTCCTGAGGCGCCTTTGAAGGAGGGGTTCTAATCTTTGTTGAAAAGGGTAAAGGGGCCTCCCTGGGGGCACAAGGGGTTAAGATGAACCTATGAAGCTGTTTGCAGCCTCTGCTGCACAGGTACAAATCCCGGCCGGCGAGGGGGCTACCCACACAATGCAGCAGACCTCCTGTCTCCCCTCTGCTCCCCTCAGCAGTGTATTCCGGTCAATCTGCCTGTTCTGCTCCCCACTCTGTCTCTGGTGAATCCTCTCACCCCCCACACCTCTGGCCTGTACCCCAGCTCTTGTATGCATAAATAAATAAATCTTCAAAAAAAATAGAAAAAGTTAAAGGAAAAATGTAGGTGGAAAATGCAGTTATTTGAGGGAGAAATGCAGAGCACAAATTATTTAACAATGTAGACGATCGTTCTTGCCGGGTTCTCGTGCACTAGAAGTCAGTGAGGGCAGGCGCTCGTGGGGCTGATGGTATTAAACCTTCCAAGCTTGGAGACTTTAATGCCCCAGACCACATTTAAACTTCCAATCATCTCATGGATACCTTTTTTATTATAATGATTCATTTTGAAAGTAAATTTTTGGGAGTTACACTGAAGATTAGATGATATGAGTATACTGTACACATTATTTCTTTTATAGCTCTCACCTGGTGGGCGAATGGAGGCACACACTGTGCTGGAATTCCATAAGGCCCCGGAGTTCACGGCTCAGGAACGGGCAGTCAGGGGGTGAGGGCACGACCAGGGGGGCTTGGTGGGGAGATCAGCTGGGGCTGTAAACCAGCTTGGTCTGCCAGCTGAGCAAGTGGCTTAGCTTGAGGTGAGAGTGTAGTTTCCACGAAACAAAAGGCACATGTTTTTCCATTAATTTCCTGGATGCTTCCCCAATCCAGCAGCCTCCCTTTTTGAAAAGGAAATGAGCCTGTCGCTTTAAGAGTGAATCATAATTTCAGAGGGGTGTTATTCTGTAAATCAAATGTCAGTTATACAAGTAAACATCTCTGCCCTCCTCTCCCCTCCCCTTCCCTCTGCTCCCCTCCTCCCTCTCCTACTTTTTTTTTAAGATTTATTTATCTTTACAAGAACTGGGGTGCAGGCCAGAGATGTGGGGGGTGAGGGGATTCACCAGAGACAGAGCGGGGTGCAGAACAGGCAGACGGACTGAAACACACTGCTGAGGGGAGCAGCGGGCGAGGCAGGAGAGGTCTGCGCGCCATGTGGGCAGCTCCCTGGGCAGGGATGGAACTCGTGCTGCAGAGGCTGTGGACAGCTTCATAGGCTGCATCTTAACCCCTTGTGCCCCCCAGGGAGCCCCCCGCTACTTTCTAAGAACATGGGACTTGCTTGGAGACAGGGTTGTCCACGCAGCAGCCAGTCTGCCCAGTTCCTCCCTAGAACCCAGAAAACTTCCTAATGTCTGTGTTCTGGGAGCCAGAGCCCCAGGGACTGGGGCTCACTCACATTCTGAGCCTGGCCTAGCGGTGCCAGCCCTCTGCCCGTAAGTGGCTTCGTGGTGTCCTTCTGGCCAAATGACCGGGCAGGGTCTGGGTGGCGAGGAAAGTGTCCTTCACCCCTGAGGCGGGTGGCGGGAGGGGACCCTCACTGTCTCTTCCAGCCTCTCAGTGTGCCCATGGGGCCCTGGAGCCCCCCACACCTGGGTCATAAGCCGGGGCAAGGCCGCCCTGTGGGGGGCGTGGGGCTCTGGCCAGCAGGCCAGCAGGCGGGAGGGAACCAGTTTTCTGGCTGACTTGCTGAATTCACCAACCCTGATCCCCGCCTGTGATCTCTCATCTGAAATACCAACTTTTCTCATTTATTAAGAGGTTTCTAGCCCAGTCTTCTCTTACTTTTGGCTGAAAGTGTAAAGGATCATGCTTTGCTCATGGGGAAGGAGCAGTAATACCCGAGATGCAAAACCCTGGAGTCGCTACAGAAACCACCGCCTTTCCATGGCGAAAGATCCTCCCACACACCCAGCCCAGCCGGGCCGGGCTCTCTGGACAGCATTTTCTGGCCCTGACTTGACAGATGAGGGACGAGCACACAGATTGTTTCTGCCTGAAGGGGGTCAGCGCGCTCCATGGGGGACACTCCTTGTGCCCGGGAGGAACTTGGCGTATTGGAGAGGGCAGGATGATGAGTGGTCCATGGAGTTGCCCCAGAGTTCTTCTCCGCAGACCATCATCTAGGTGGGCTCCAGATCTAGAATTATAATCCAGAGAGACTTGGACATTTAAATTTAATAGTGTTAGCTCACCTTCTAGTTGGTTGTAATCAGAGAAAAAATTGCTGGTGGTCTGGTCCCCAAAATGCCATTGATGGTGTCTCCTGGGGGCGAATGTGTGTGTCTGTTTCTCCCCTCGCGTCACCGCTGTGCTCAGAGCAGCATGCGCGACCTAGCGAGAACTCCGCGAATATTACCTGAGAAAAGGAACGCATGAATGAATGAATGAATAACTATCCTTGTCGCTGTTGTATCACCGTTCCCAGGAGTATACACGACAGCACATCCCTGATCACTGCTAAGTGACTTAATAAACTGTGCATGTAGATTATATTTTAAAGCAGATTTTAGGTGGATGATGGTATGTTGGCTCAGCAGGTAAAATCTTTATTCCCAGAGAGATCCTGGGATAGTTTCATTGACTCTGGAAGGTAAAGTTGTTTCATATTTCAGCTGTTAGTTCACAACGGAGCACAGAGGCACAGAGGCTGTCAAGGGGGGTGAGTGGTTCAGTTCACCTGGCACAAGGATAAGTCCTCAAAATAAGTGAAAGCTGCCAAGCTGAGCCCCCGGAATGCCCAGTGAAACATTTCATTTAAATATAGGCTGGCATCGAAGCTTGTTGAACATGGTAATCACCCATAATTGTCAAGCAAAAGAGATGCGTGGCTACCAGCCCCTGACATCCTGATTTCAGTGACTTTTATGTGACAAAGGTGTCAACAGATTTAAAGTGTGCCCAGGGACCAGGCTGGGCAGCCCCTTCTAGGAAGCACAGCTGCAGGCGGTTGGCAGCAGAGCGAGGTTGTCTGAAGCTCATTTGGGTTTTAGGAGTTGAAGGTCTGCAAGGGAAGTCTCCTAGGAAATTCACGAGGATCTGAAATCCTAGAGCCAGGTCAGCATTTCTCACTGAGATTTGGAAACTATCCAGAGCGCAGCGTGCACTTCCCCTTGGGAACCCCCATCCGCCTGCCACTCAGGGTGGACGTGTCTCCTGGGGGTCGCTGCTCTGAGACAGGCCACACTCCCACTTTAGCCGCTCGGAGACATCTGAGCCCTTGGTCCTGGCGCCGCTGGCGCTTTCCTGCGTGCCGGCTGCGTCTGACAGTCCTTGAGCTGCCATGTGTGACGAGTCCGCCTTGTGGCTGGGGCTTCACGAAGGTGCAGACTCAGAGCCTGGAGGCTGCTGGCCAGGAGGAGCCCAGGCTACAGCTTTTGGCTCCCTCCCAGAAGCCCTGTGTCACCGTGTGGTTCTCCTAACCTCCGGGCATCCGCTCTCTCTTCACAGCTGTTTGAGGAGAACCAAGCAGCAGTCAGGTTCTCTAAGAAACAGAACCAAAAAACAGTGAATTAAGAGGAGGAGGAGAGAAGGGAGGGGCAGGTGAAGAGACCAGCGGGAGAGGGAGGGAGGATCCTGAGACCTGGTGGCTGCCTGCTGCAGGGCAGGTGCAAATCCAGGCAGGGCGCTTACCTGGGCAGGTGGGGGGAAGCTGCACCTGCATAGATGCCCGGGGGGAATGGGTGGGGGCCAGGGATGCTCTGATCCTGTCTTCCATAAAACAGGCTGTTTTTATAAAACTATTGCCGACCTCTCAAGATTAACCTGGAGATAAGGTGGTTTGCTGGACAGAAAAGTGCAGGCGTGGCGAATGGAATGTGTCTCAGGACGCGGGGCTAACTGTGATCTAAAGCAAGAGGCGCTGAGAAGACTAGAAGAAATCTTCCCGCTCGGGACAGATAACTTAGAAGTGAAAGCAGGCTTGTTCGATAGGTTTTATGCTCAGAAGAGTGTCACCTGGGAAAAGCGAGCATGGACTTGGATGAGAAGGAACTGATGATGAAGATAGAGGAGCAAATCGTGGCAGTGCCTCCCCCCGGCTCATAAAAATCTCTCACCTAAATCCTTCATCATCTTGTGGAACGAGGTTGGAGATTTCCAGCAAAGTGGAAATACAAGTCGGTGCTTGGTAAGTTCCCGAATGCCCCGATACACAAGTAAAATCATGGGTTCAAGGCCAGAGTCCCCCAGTGAACGTGGCCAGCTGTCTTCAGCGTCGGCCTGGTCAGCCTATCTGAGACTTCAGAAGGCCTCAGCGACAGTCTGTGTTTCAGACACCCTGCAGATTGGAGGGGCTAGGTGACCTCTGTGATTGGAATCCAACTGTTTAGATATTGTTCAAAAACCAAAACTTGTCACTGAGCGCAAGCCTGTTCTGAAGTCAACGTTCAGGTGTTTGAAAACAGCTGCGACCTGCATGTCGCTTGTTTGTAAGAAGCGAACATCCCTGGGACACTTCAGCTGTGTCTCCAGAGGGACAGACTGTGGCGCCCGCGCCGAGGCTTGCCCTGTCTTCACTCACGTTGCGGCTCCGTCTTTCCCACAGGCCTGTCGGGACTGTGTCGGCTCCCACTTCTGTTACTCACAGAGGGATCCGGAGAAAAGGCTGCCGCACTGAGAAAGCTCCATCACAGAGGACCGGCTTCCAAAGGTGGGTTGTTTCTGCTAATTGTGGCGCAGAATCCACTTTACTCAATGCAAGGGCCGTGTGCTTGTTTGTAGTGCTGTTGTGTTTCACCTGTGAGTACTTTCCAAGGAGAGGGCAAAGGACCGTCTGCACCCTGCTATTCTACTGTAAAAATGGCCTTGGCGGTTACTTAGGACCCTTTGCTTCCAGTCTCTCGGCACTGAAAGGTCTCGGTCTTCTGTCTGGTTTCTAGAAATGAAGTCAATAGAAAGATGAGTGTCACCTAATTCACAAAACGCCAGCGTTTTGTGTTCCATCTCTTTTTCTCAAGAGGGGCCCAGTGGCCTCCTGGCTTATGGCCTTGGCCAAAGACTTGCTGTGAGGATTGTAACCAAGTTCACTTCTTGGCCTGGGAGAGCAGCCTTCATACAGCTTATTTAAAGGCTGGTGACTATTAACATATTAACTAAAAACATTGCCCAAAGGAGTAAAATCTCCTAATGAAAGAAAGAGAAAAAATAAATAAATAAAGCTGACAAGCTGGTAGCATTAGAATGGATGAAAAATGTGCTCTCCTACCCCTAATTAAGAAAAGGTAAAGTAGGCCAGCTGCACATTTGCATGACAAAGAAAGAAATGCAAACAGAATTGGCTCCAGATTAATCTCCTCTTGAGATTCAAAGTTTAAAGGAGACTAGAAAACAGGGAAATTGTAGAACCTTTTCTTGCAGGAATCTCTGGGCTCTTGACTTAATCCTCCCAGGGAGAAAGGTGGGCTTGGCATGCTGCCAGGCAGGACTCTATAGGGCAAAGCCACTCATTTATCTTTGCTTTCACATTTGTAAACCAGCTTCCTTTTCCCTCTGTCTTTGTAGTTTCTAACTAAAGAACATGTCGCAGCTGCTACCTGAGCTAATGTCTGCTCACCATAGACTTCCGAAGCGGCCGCTGGGCAGGGTGGAAATTCAGAAAGGACAGAATGACTCTAGCATGTCGGGGTGGTGTGTGCAGCAGACAGAGGCTGTGCTGTAGCTGGGCGCTTGCCTTTAAAGCAGGCTTCATGGTCCCCCAGGGAGCCCTGCAGGACTTCTGCAGAGACCCGTGCTGGCCACAAGCTGCTCGCTACCGGGCCGCAGAAGTCCACGTGTATGCAGCGCGAAGGGCCAGAGCTCTGGCTTCCTGTCTCCTGAACGTCAGTTACAAAGAGGAGCGCGCTTGTGTTTATGTTATTTTCCACGTTTTTATTTTTAGCACATTATTCAAAATCCACAAAGATGATGGAGTCATTTTTGAAAACATCTTTCACGACAGAGCATTCCAGATGCCCTGCTGTAGAGGCAGGACTGGCCACAGTGCAGGTTCTCTGATCCCATGCAGACCGGGTAAAGGAGGAGTCAGAGTCCTCAGTAGTTTTGCAGGTTTTTTATTTGGGGTTCACCAGGCATATGGCAGGCAAGGGTGCTGGCTGGTAGGCCCCCCAGCCCCCAGCAAGTCTTCACTCTATCTGGGCTCTCTAGCGTTCGTTCTGCTGCTTCTCAGCTTCTGCTTCAGCTTCGGCTTCTTCTACTGCTGCTGCTGCTGCTCCTGCTGCTGCTGGCGTCCCCGTTACGCCGCCCTTAAAAGCACAGTCTTAGCTCAGCTGAATCCCATCTACCTATGCCCACACCCTGCTCCAGGTGCCCGCCATCAGGCATGCATTCAGGACAAGGATCCATCATCTATCCTGATGGCGGAAGGGCAGAAAAGCCTGACATTTTCTTTACCCTACACCTGCCTTAACTGTCAGCGAACTTGAATTCAACCTCTTCTTCTTTACTCAACTAATGTTCAGCAAATAATTATACGTTCGTACCATGTGTATTCACATTTTTGATGCACATGATTCCTACTGGAAAAGCAACAGCTCCAGTAACTGTAAGCATGATCGTAATTGTGCTGATAATAGTATCATTTGTGTGGTTTTAAAACACTTAACACGGACCACTGGATCCGGCTCTTCTCTCATTTATCGTTTATCGAGGTGGAGGAAGTTACTACGATTCCTGATTTATGAATGAGAAAACTGACATTCAGAGTAGATATGTCAATGTATCATTCTCAAAGTCAAAACACAGGCTTCTAACACAGCGATACTCTGGAAACCTGCTAAACTTATGTCTAACTCAATAATAAGAGAACTGGTAAGAGCTAGTTCATACGGGGATTTCAGAGACCAACGCTGCTTTACCAGAGAAGCGCAGGGCGCCCACCGAGCTCACAAAGACAGAGACAGCGTTGCCTGGACCCCTGGGAGACACACCCCGAAACTGGCCCTTGGGAAGTCTCCGAGAGCGTCATTTCCGTTTGTCTCAGAAAACAGCTGGTTTCACCTGTTGATCTACAACTTTGAGTCTCTGTTTCAGAGGATGAGCATCCTTTGCATAGAACCCCGAGAACACTCTGAGGGGCCTGGCGGGCTCTGCTCCCAGGTGCCCAGACGGGCAGGCAGCTGTCCCTTCCCCAGATGGCTGAATCTGCGTGTTGTGCTGCAAACAAAATCTTAGTTAAAAGCCTCCTCATTAGCAGTGGGTCTGAATCCGTGTTCCTTCTGCTCCATGCAGCCTTTCAATGGCCTGCAGCTCACAGGCAGGGCCACTGAGGAACTGGCCAGAGCGTCTGCTGTTTTGCTGTTTCTCTTTGGGGCAGTGCGCGTGACGCGGTGCTGGGCTGGGGGGGGGGGTCCTCACTCTAATGCTGGCCCCACGTGGCAGGAACTGAGTGGGAGAGTCTTGACTTCCATCCATCTCCATGGACTCTCTGGCAGGGATTGCGCGTGCCCCGAATGAGATGCGGAAGGATGCCGGCTCCTGTTTTCCCTTAAATTCCGTAAATTCGCAGACTTTGGGTACTTGGGACACTGTCCAAAGTATTGCTTGTCCAGTTCTGTTGTTTTCTAGCTGTAAGACTTGAGTGCTCGCTTCGGCAGCACATATACTAAAATTCTAGCTGTAAGACTTGGGGACCTTGCTTCACCACTCTAAGCTGCATTTCTCGTCCATCATTGAGCTATCAGGAGAGCCTCACGCTGCTTTGGTGAGAGGGTAAAAGCTTAGAACCTTCCCCAGGATGCTTCTTCTCACTCCCCTACTTTGCCTCCTGTGACAGCCCCCATTGACATAAAGCTCCTGCTTTGCTGTGCCCCCCTAAAAAAACACCCCCCCCCCAGAGCTGGGAGGCTGTTTGGTTATAGAAATAGACCAGCATCTCCGACAATCTTTTTTCTCAATTGGTATTGATAAATGCTATTTTGGATTCCTTTCTCTTATTTCTAGAAGGATTTAGAACCTGGGTGTAGAGGCAGGAACTGGGCACAGTGCAGGTTCTCTGATCCCATGCAGACCGGGTAAAGGAGGAGTCAGAGTCCTCAGTAGTTTTGCAGGTTTTTTATTTGGGGTTCACCAGGCATATGGCAGGCAAGGGTGCTGGCTGGTAGGCCCCCCAGCCCCCAGCAAGTCTTCACTCTATCTGGGCTCTCTGGCGTTCTTTCTGCTGCTTCTCGGCTTCCGCTTCGGCTTCTGCTGCTGCTACTACTGCTGCTGCTGCTGGTGTCCCCGTGACGCCGCCCTTAAAAGCACAGTCTCAGCTCAGCTGAATCCCATCTACCTATGCCCACACCCTGCTCCAGGTGCCCGCCATCAGGCATGCATTCAGGACAAGGATCTATCATCTATCCTGATGGCGGAAGGGCAGAAAAGCCTGATATTTCCTTTACCCTACACTGGGTAAGGAAGACTGTTAATCTCTTTTGAACCTTATGATGAACTATAAGAAATGGTAGAAAAGATTCTTACTTTTGGTGGTTTTAATGAGTTATTTCTTTTCCATGAGCTTTATTGTAAATGGATAACATCATTAACCTCCATGGGAGAGTGCTTGACAACAAAGATATTTTGGATATAAACTGTCGCGCCCCCCCCCCCCCAGCCAAAGTCTAGCTCTTGGTCAATTCAAGTCCCAAGTTGTAGCCTCAAAAGGATAGTTAAATGTATATATAGGGTTGCATAAACATAATAACCAAGTGGCCATTTTGCGTGACAAAAGCCAGCTCCCTGAAAGATAAAAGTGGAACTAAAATAAAAACCTTTACTGCTTTTTGAATAATTAGGATAGTAACTGTCAGTCGTTGCTTTGACATTGTGAGAAATCTCAAAAGTACGTTTGGACTCAATTCTTCCCCAGCATCTGCTATCAGCCCAGCTGCCTTTTATAAATCACAGGTTCAAGTTTAAAGCCCTGTGCTCACACTAAGCCTGTGAACAACTTGCTCCTTCCAGTACCAACTGGAAAAAGGGCTCACAAATCTGACAAACTTTGCTCAAATAGCTGGAATGGATGCTAATAGTGAGCATTCATTAGAAACAAAATAGCTGACTTTAAAAGAATTTAAATGTCTCTTAGTATGGAAAACATTTAAATAATTCATGGATAATTTCACTTCAGTGTGTTCCTGGTTTCTAATTAAATCCAATTAGAGCTCATCCTTGTGGTCTCTGCATCTTTATTCCAAAGCCTGTTTACATTCATGAGTCTATACTCTGCAGGCTACAAAAGATGCATGTTGTGAGAACTGCAAGGCTGGCATTTAGATTGTTTTGGGTAGAAGGAAGGAGGATTCTTCCTCCTAGGAGCTAGTGAGTGCTCCCCGCGAGGGCCAGACATGAGCTGCTGGTCCTGTTATAGGACAGCCCCGATATTGAACGGGTTCCTGGCTGTGGGTCCTCACCCGCGCGCTTACAAGGGACTTATGAATACTCCACTGCAGGCACACACAGAAGGTTCATAAAAGGTTTATTGACAAGGGAAAAGGAAATAAGGAAAATGGACAACTCAGGGAGAAAATAGGGAAATAAAGTCTTTCATGCGTCCTACCCGATCCGACGACCTGGAAACCCAAAGGCACTCTCAGAGCTGGCCGGACGCTGCGAGCTGGTGGGGAGCCAAAATGGGGGACCCCCCCCCCCCGCCAAGCCCACGTGTCTGGCTTTATACCAACCTGGCTGCTGAACCCCACCCTCAGGTCCCAGCCCCCTTCCCTTGGGTGGGGATGGGATGTGGAGTTCCCAGTGTCTTTGGCTTTGGCCTGGGGTGGGGGTGGAGTCCACGAAGCCTGTATGGAATGAGCTTTAGGACAGCCTTTGCCCCCTAACAGTCCCTTCGGTAATTCTGTCACGAGGCTCCAGAACGGCAACAGTCCCTGTGTTCCTGGGAAGCTGTAGTTTATGTTTGCTCTCTTTTGACAATGGTTTTGTTAAAACTGGGTTGTTAATAACTCCCTAAAGCAAGCTGGTTTGCTGAGCAATGCGATTTGACAAATACTTATTAGTAGCAGCCCTACTCCTAAGATTTGCTTGCCTGCACTGTCCCATTGATTGTCATTAATTATCATGTTTATTCACAAACAAGTTTCTGTGCTCGCTTGTCACTCCAGCGGCTTAGATATTGATTGCAGCCATTTGGACGTGGAACACCCAGATCGAGGCACTCTTGAAAACTTGTCAAAAGGTACAAAAGATTATACTGACAGTCAACAGAACGAAACACAGCGGCATCAGGTTTAAGTAGTTAATCATCTTCCCGGAAGAATGTGCTGGTTCCAAAGGGAACAAGCCAGAGGAACACGAGGCAGTTGCCCACGCCGGCGGTTCCCGCAGACACTCAGGAGTCAGTTAGGCATGTTCTGGTTTATTTTTTTTTTTCTGGTCATTCACCTCCCATAAAATCTCAAAGAACAAAGAACAAGAAACCAACCTGCACCCGTAGGCCTCAGGCAGAGGTGGGAGGCCTTGCGGGGTGACACCCTGTGGGCATCAGCGTGAGCACAATCCTGGCTTCTGGCAAGAAGCGTGTCTCAGAGGCCCGCCCACCCCTATGGGTGGCAGAGGCACCACCGTGTCCCTCCTCCTTCAGCTGTGCCTATGCCGGACCTGGGCAGGACAGTGAATTTCACCTCAGCAGATACCAGGGAGTGTAAGACGCGCTACTCTAGCTTGTGCCGTTAGTGTAGCATGGGGCACCTGCCCTGTCGTGGCACGGGGGATGGGCGTGGGGAATCTCTGAAGCACGGCTGGTCTGAAACATGCCTTCAAAGTGATAGAAATGTGGCTGCTCCTTTGACGCCTCATGGAAGGAGAGCACTGGGTTCACGGGCCACCTCACACTCATTTGCTCAGATGGTAATAAATACAGCAAGTTATGCTTGTAAGTGTTAATAAGTGTCAACAAACATTTTGCAACAAATAAGATGCGCAAAAGCGCATAGCTCTACACTTTCACAGGCAATGGCCGTCTGCTAGTTTGTGAAGCTAAAAAGCAAGATTACGTGAAATCTGTGTTGTCCGGGTCACTCTTTTCATGTCCTCTGAGGACTCGGGCACAAGGTCACGGTCCTTCAAGGACCACTGGTTAGAGTTCCTACTCTATCCAGCCCCAGCGGCCCCTCACACTCTGACACTGGAGGAATAGAAACAAAATTCGGGCCCCCACCCTGTCACAGTCCCCCTTTGTCCACATGCTGAGACGAGGTCTGGGGACGTGATTATATGCCAAGTCTACCTAGTTGACTGACTGGTTACCTGGTTGACAAACTAGTTAACTAGCTAACTGACAAGCGCTTTAACTAGCTGACTGACTTGTTCACTAGCTGACTAACTAGCTGACTAGCTGACTAGTTATCTAGCCGACTAGTTGCTGTGAACACATGCTGTCCCTCTTAGTCTGGCCAGGGGCCCGCATGAACCATTGCATTTCCTTCTTGCTTACGTATGTTTGACTTAGGTAGGTTTGTCTAACGCGGGAGTGGGTTGTGAAGGTGCCTTCAGCAAGCTCTCCCGGCTGAAGGGCCATTCCACTTCTAGAGAGACAAATTTTCAAGCTTGCCTTTCACACCTGGCGTGGGTGGCCTACTCTCTCAAGTGCACGGAGAGCAGCGGTAAATAGTTGTTCTTACATATGCAGCTCGGCAGACATGAGCTGGCTGGACAGTCATTGCGCCGGAAATCTTCTGGTGAGTGAACAAAGGACTGCCATGGAGTTTGCATGTTTGAGTAGGAAGGAGGCAGATCAGAGAAGAGGGGGTGGGTGATGTGCTTCATATTTTGGGGGCGAAATTAGTCGATGAGTATCCAAGCATAGTGTGCCGGCCTGCCTTTCCTAAAGTGCATTCCCAGGATGGCTGATGCCTTTGGAGGCTCGTGGATTTATTCCCGAAACAAGCGAAGCCATAATCCCCGGATCAAGGTGGCTGGTCAGAGTTTAACTCCTGAGCGTGCCTGCAGCTTCTCCTTGCATTGCTTTCTAGAAAATAAAGAGATTGGTGGTGAGATTTGTCCCCTAAGATTTGATTTATGTCATTTCTGAAATGCCCATTCATTACTAAGTGAACCACGTCCCCTCAGCCTACTCCCCTCTCTTCTGTGACTTCTGCCTGAACTGCCCAGTGCTGGGCCAGACTGACAGGGCGTCACTACCAGATAAAGACTCAAATTATGAGCCTCTCCTCTTCTTCCATCACTGGGAAAAACATGAATTGAGCTAAGCAGGGTGCTCAGTGGGGAAGGCAATTTATCTTCTCCGTGGACCTTCTTTTTTGTCAAAGACCAATCACAAGTGATGGGCACACCTGGACTTGAAGTGGCGTCAATCTAGAGAACAATATCCAGTTATTATAGGAGCCTGAGCACTCGAGACGGAGACACACAGACATCTCTGCTTTGCACAGCTCCCCCTCAGTGCGCACAACCTCCGCAGACAACCCAGAGAGTTTGAGTGTGGAGGGCTGTTAAGTCGCCCTCTCCAAGCTGTGGGTCACGGTGACCCAAAATCTGTATTTCCAAGTACACGTGTCATCATTTTATTGCCTGAACTGAGTTGGCCAAGGTCCGCACGGACGTGGCAGGCCTGCCGCCGTCACCTCTCAGTGACCTGCTCCCGGGGTGCGGCGCCCACACTCCTCACAAAAGGGCCCACTCCTTCCTGTGGGCTCTTGCGCTGTGTCCGGAATGTCTCATTCTGTCGCCCGGGCTGTATCTTGGGCTGGACTCTTCCATAATCTTCAGACAGATTTTCTTTATTTACTGTGTATTAACTTGTCCAGAGTCACCGTTGCTAGGTAGGACATCTCCCTCCACCAGTCAGGAGCTCTAGAAATCAGTGTTATCTGTGCCTGCCCTGGCCGTTGCCCCATGGTGGGTAAATGGCCTTTCTGGTTTCGGAGAGGCACCATCTCCTCAGCTAGAACAAAGGAGATGCCCTCCGCCCTGCAGCAGGTGTGTGATTGGGATCCACAAGCCCCCACCCCAGGCCCTCCCGACCCCAGGAGAGCCCGATCATCAGTGTGTGAAGTGGATCAGCCCGCTCTGCCTGTGCTCCCCTCCCATACTCGCTCTCCCCATCTAGTCACACCCTCTGGGGCGCTTAATTTCCTAGCTTTTTCCATTCACTTTGCTCCAGCCTAAAGGCAGAGAGTGCGAGAGCGTCACCTCCAGATTTTCCCAGGTGGTCACCAGGCACATCATAGAACGCACCGTGAAAGAGTGAAGCAGAAAACGATCTTACAGTCCTGGATGTTTTAATATTCCCAGTTACGAAAAAAACAACACCCAGCCTGAGAGCGACCGGTTACCTTTGGCCAGAGGTAGATGGATGATGATCATCATTTATTAATTGGATTCCTTATGGCAGTGCCACACTGAGCACATGGCTTCTGTCACTTGGCTTGGTATTCACAAGAACCCTTTTCATCCTTGTTTTGTAGGTGAGAATGTGGCGATCCAGAGATTAAGTAACTTGCCTAGCTTGACTCAGCGAGCACAAGAGAAAGGGCCTCTGGGCTTATGGCTTTTACCATCCCAGGCCAATATCCTTAAATATTGAGCTATAAATCCTACCAGCCATATTGGATGAGCGAGAACTGTATTTCCTGAGCCATCTTCATCAATGTAATCCGCTCCAATTCACTCAGCATTCAGTCAGGACTGCCCTGAGGAAGCCTGTGCCAGGGAACACGATGGGTGGAGGTGTCTGAATGTGCACTATGATCTGGTGTTCCAGATCATTCCATGACCTCAGGTGGAGAACCTCATGTTCAACTCATCACTGCCCCTCAGCAAAGGGAAACCAAGCCGTCTTCAACCCAGAAATTGTCCAGTAAGTGACAGACTTCGTTATTTATTTGGTGGCATGCATAATGGGGAAATAATCAATATGTCACCGTGGTGGGATTTTCCACAGCTGCATGATTTCTGAAATACCAGACGTGACAGGGTTACACATTTCCTCTAGCCTCCTAGTTAACTGTTGACACATAAACACCAGCTTTGGTATGGCTGAGGGATCGCAGGGCAGGAGTCTGCTACCAAGCATAATCAAAGCTTCCTTTTCCTCATTTCCTTCCAGGCCTGGGTGCCATACTGAGAATTTATAATTAGGTCCTAACGCCAAGCTTGCCAAGAATTTATTTTCAATTTCCATGCTTTGCTATCTCAGCTGTTTCAAACTACATATATCCAAGCTGTAGGAAATGTGTTATTCTAAGTGTTCTGGGGAGTGATTTTTCCAAGCATTTCCAACCTTTTGTTTAGGCATTATCAGAGTTAACTGGAATCAATGACAGAGCGTCCCTGAGCGAGTCCCATTGTGATTGTGGCCGTTCATCAGGCTTTTATGACAAGCTGGCACTACGCTAAGTGTGCTTCGTGGTAGCGTCTCTGAGTCCTTACAGTCATTTCACATGGGAGGTTCTATCGACCTCCTTTCAGTGGCAAGAAACTTAGCTAATGCTGCTAAATAAACTACCGGTTATTCCACCTTACCGTGTTTTGTCTGCCTTCAAACCCAAGCTTTTAGGGCCTCCCTGGTGGCGCAAAGGTTAAGACGCAACCTGTGAAGCTGTCCGCAGCCACTGCAGCACGAGTTCCATCCCCCGGCTGGCCCGGGAGCAACCCACATGGCGCAGCAGACCTCTCCTGTCTCCCCGCTGCTCCCCTCAGCAGTGTATTTCAGTAGATCCACCTGTTCTGCTCCCCACTCTGTCCCTGGTGAATCCTCTCACACCCCCCACCCCCGTGCCGCTGGCCTGTACCTCAGCTCTTGTATGCATAAATAAATAAATCTTTAAAAAAAAAAAAAAAGGAACATTCAAACCCAAGCTTCTAAGTACTACAGTATGCATTTGCAACAACTGCTTCAGAGTTCTGTTATTGCTGGTTGTTACTTCTTTGTTTCTGGCTGGAGTTACTATCATCCCTGTTTTTTGACTGTAGAATCTCAAATACTGCTCAATTCTGTGACCTCCTGATCTTGTATCTGAGACATGGAAGAGTTGGAAATCAATACTTTTCCACTTTTTAAATACTTTTATATGATACAGTAGATCGCTGATACGTTCCTTGCAGAAAAACATTTTGTATTTGAAAGCATCATAAGGGTGAGATAAAACACACGCAGCTGAGTTGTAATCTGATAAGATAGGGGTGTGTGTGCGTGTCCATGTCCCTGTCTCAGCGTGTGGCACCAGGGCACATACATGCCAGTAGAGTGACTTGACAGCATGTGCAGCCCCAAAGTAGCTGAAACTGAAGCAACTTTTTGTTAAGGATGCAAAGCATGAAGTAGTTTGACTGGTTTATACTGAAACCAAGTGTTTTCTCATCTCCGTACAAGAAGGTCCTGTGTGTCTGGGCGTGCACGGGGGTTGCGTCCGTGTGTAGACGCGACCCCTGCATGGCAACACCCCCCCCCCAGCATCTGGGATGGGCTCTCCCCACAGTGTATAAGAGTCCTGGGATTTGGGCCCTTGATGAGTCATTTTCCAGTGACCAGGGGACCGCGGGCTGGGCCGGAAGTGCGGAGTCCAGGGCCTGCAGGGGTTCCCGTCTGAACCTGACAGTTCCCACTGTTGCTCCTGCACGCCCTGCTTTTCTACCTCGTCTTCTCTTGTGTCTTCTTACATAGGACAACTGCAACAGGAAAAGGCCAGGTGTACAATACAACAACCTCTTAGTAACTCGGGGCAACGTCGCTTTTTAAATTTTACTAAATTTCTCCCCAGTCCCTGCTGTGTACTGAAACGCTGCAGCTCCCCACTTGCTTGCCTAGAATTTCTTTCTTAATTCCCTCCCTCCTGTCTCCAAAAGGGGCTTCCTGAAATACATCAGATCGCAAGGACACCGCTTCGTGCTCCTGCTCTGTCCTCACCGTCCCTTCTCCCCGCGCTCAGCTCCGGAGCTCAGCACCAGACCACGCTGTGCTTTTCCAGCCTCGTCCGTTAGGACTTGCTCAGCTCTCACCAAAGGCACCGCTTACAGCGGTGTAGACATGAACACCGCAGCCCGTCCCGCGTGTGCCGAGCAAGAGAAAGCTCTGTGCGGGGCCCCAGGGAGCGCGTGCCCCTCCTCTGTGATCTCCCCAGCGCTGTTCTCTTTCCTGAATTAGCTTCCACTTCACGTGACTTCCCCCAGGTGACAGGGTGACGGCCAGGAGCAGTGACGTCAGCCTCCGTGTGTGCGTCCTCGCTCCGATTCTGCACTCTGGCTGCAAGGACACGGGTGTGCGTCGCTGTAGGGACTGTGGTGATAGATATAATTAGACCATAGACAGTCAGAGCAAATCACACACACACAGACGTCAGTAGAGAGGTGATAGCGGTAGACCCATATGCCGTTTACACCTGTTTATCCACGCAGCACACCTGTTGCCCTGGATCGTACATAGAGGACCTCACTGTGGTCTTACTGCATGGAGCAGTCAGCCGCACACCAGCCAGGCCATCACTTGTAAGCCTGGAGGCCCTGCGTGTTCTCGCCTGTGCTCTGGGTGAAGCCCAAGTCCTAACTTGGCAAAGCTTTGCCAATTTATAGAAACATACTTGACCCTGATGATACAGGTTTGTCTTCACCACGTTCCAATTAGCTCGTCAATCTGCCACTGCTGCGTGTGTGTGTGTGTGTGTGTGTGTGTGTGTGTGTTAGGGGCAAAAGGAGATGGGGGGGGCCTATATACTTAGCACTAAGTTCTACCAGTCTGGTCTTGCGAGGCTGCTGAAGACGTGACACCTTGTGCATCCCTCCCCGTGAGCTGGGTCACGCCTGATGAAGACACAGCTTATGGTGCTTTGAGAAAATCTGAATCAAAACTCTCTCCCTGTGACTTCCACCCGCTCCTTCTGCTTTTATACTCATTCAGCACTTTCCTCCTTAGTTGAAAGAGATAAATGCTAATTGAAGGACTATTATTCCCACTGAATAGCACAAGTTTTTACCTCTGCAGCCTATCAAAGCATCTTTGCAACTCTTCATTAACCTCCAAGGATGATCCCTGGGAGATAGATCGTTTAACAGCAGCGACTCGGAAACAGAAATTGCCCAGAATACTCTACCGCCGAGACTTTCATCATCTGATTTTGGAGAAATGCTTTCTGGCCCACTTTCATTCCCCTTCTCACTGGATAAAATTTAATGCGACTCGCCACATACCATGGTAATTTGCGACTTTCCTCTGAGGAAGGAAATGTGTATCTGCCCTAAATTTTTTGACCTGGTATAGTAGGGAATCGCCCGTTCTGTCCTCTGCCCTGTGTCTGGAGGCTGCCACGGTGGGGGACAGGGCAGCACCGCTGCCATCAAACCCCCCAACAGAGGCGCAAGACGAGCTCTCTTTATGCATTTGCTGCACACTTGTGGCCTGTAAGAGCAGCTTCATAAACGTTTATTTCCCCAAACATAAGAGAATCATCAAGTCCCCGCTCACTAAACGGAGCAGCACTAATCTAATTTCATTACTTGCCATGGAACATGGGGCTAAAAGGCCATTAAGCTTCCGAGCATGATCGTTTCTCATTCTAAACAGCCAGGGGAAAGGGAGCCCACTCGGGGAACTGGGGGGCGCAGGGCTCCCCAACCCGGGCCGTTACCACCTTCCAGCCATGGTCTCCCCTCGGCCAGCCACTCCCTCACGTGCGGTGGAAGGGTCCAGGCAAGAGTCTAAGCAGGTGCTGGTTTCGGAGCCTCATTTATTTTTATTAAGAACAGATGGAGGCAGAAGTCCTCTGAGCACTTGGTTAGCATCCTGCCATTCCCTGAACAGCAGCCAGCAGAGCGCAGGACAGAGGCTCGGTCCATCTGCTGACCCGCCTCCCGTGCCCGCGCAGAGCCAGGCGCTACAACTGGTGTGTCAGGAAGCACGATGGAGGGCCCAGGCTGCTCGGCACCCTGGGCCTTCATAGAGACTGCGTGACTGCGAACAGCCCTTCCCGACTCAGCAGAGGCCCCAGCATGTGAGTGATGACTCTCGTCACGAAGGATAATGATCCCTTTTTAGCACCTGTAGCTAAGGGCAGACCCCCAAAATATTCTTTTTAAAAAAAAAAATTTTTATTTATGCATACAAGAGCTGGGGTGCAGGCCAGAGGTGTGGGGGTGAGAGGACTCCCTAGAGACAGAACGGGGAGCAGAACAGGTGGATCCACTGAAACACACTGCTGAGGGGAGCAGCGGGGAGACAGGAGAGGTCTGCCGCACCATGTGGGTAGCTCCCTGGCCGGGGATGGAACTCATGCTGCAATGGCTGCAGGCAGCTTCACAGTGCTGAGACTTTAACCCTTGCACCACGAGGGAGGCCCCCCAATATAGTCTTTTACTTTTTTTCTAGTTTATGTTCTATACATTATGTTTATGTTCTCTATATTTCAAGTAAATACTTTGACTCTATGGACGTTTTGGAACCTTGCTCCACTCTAATTATTCAACTGGATATAAAGCCAGGTGGGTCGAGTGCGCTGTTCTTTCCAGCAGAGTCTGTGTTCCTGATGTGTCTCTGTGGCCAGCCAGCTGCGTTGGGACATTTGTCTATGGAGAACCATATTGTTCTCTTAACAACTTAAATTTTTTTCCAGGGTAGAAATTCTCTTGGTTTCCTATAATGAGGACCTGGGCAACATAAAACATCATCTCACTGCCAAAGAGACAGTAGTATTAGTACTGGGAGTTGTGTTTCTGACTGAAGATGCAATATCGAATGTTTTATAGAACAGTGAAAAAGTGTAATGAAAGAGGCATAAAATCCAGGGTTGCTTGTCTCCTAGGATAATTTATATTTTGACACTTAAAAGCACAATGTGTTACGCACGTCTGTGTTGTGTGATATTATGT